TGAACTGTTTTCATCGAAATAATTGAAAATATAAGATTTTTAAAAACTGGTATTGGACTCTATGTTCGTCTGCGTGCTAATGAGAGAAAAGAAATCAGAAAAGATGCAAAGAATGTTTTGAAGAAGCAGAACATAAGCTCTGTTGGACCGAAAAGAGGACCAAACTTTCCCTGAGGTTGGAAGATTTTATACATGTGTGAAGGTGAACAACAGAGGACCATGTAGGCTGACAGGTCAGCTAAAGTATTACCCATTGGACCAGGGATGGTGGCAGAGAGGATGGAGGCATAGCGACAGGAACCCATACTGCCAGGATAGAGTTATAGGTCTGAACAGTCTGTGTCCAGAATATGTGGCTCAGCAGAGAGTTTAGTTTTCCTGTATTTAACCTTCCAGCTGTACAGGTCCTGGATGGAAGGAAGGTCAAACCTCATCATCTTTATCAGATGCAGGTTGGACCTGTTCTGTTTTAAAGATGAGCCAAACAGTGAAGTGATGGATGAACAGACAACCGACTGATTGTTGTGTAGAAAATGGCAACCTGCTCCTCTGGAAGGTTGAGTTGCTCCTGGAGGTCCAGTCTCTGCTGGGCCTCGGTCATTGGATGTGTGAACCATCTCAGCTCATAATAAACAGCAGTTCCCAAAAAACATTTTATTGTTATTAGAACTGCTTGGACATCCTCAGATTTAATAAAGAGCTGTACAACTATGGGCCATATTGAAGAAACTGAAGCGAAATGGAAGCAGGAAGCAGCTTTAAATGTAGAGAAATGAAGAAAATGAGGATAAGAGGTAAAAAAGGTGAATGTGTTTAACTTTAATAAACAAATTCACTCATCTAAACATTCTGAAATGAGGTTTAAAAATATCCAGATATATGATAAAAAAGATTTAGTCATCTGATGCAGCTGTAGACATTTATTTCACCTCCAATGTCTTCAGTAAGTCCTAACTATTAAAATTCAAACTTTAAATCCCATCTGCATAAAGTTCATAGTTTATGCCTCAAGTCTTTACTTGCTCTTCTTGAACATACGATATTTTCTCATTTTAGTGTTTCACCTTTTTTCTGAACTGTGACTCTGAGGTGCAGTAAAGGCGTCAGCAGGAGAATAAAGACAAGCTTTATTCTTCCAGTAAAATTTTCCCCCAAAGTTACCCCAGAATAAACAGCAGCAGAAGTAAAGAGGGATCACATTTCACCTGCATTTAACATTATTTCAGATCAGTGATGATTTTTGTCTTGTTTCTGCAGCTGATCAGGCCTTTATGATCTGAGATTAAATGTTTAAATAAATGAACTGTGAACTGATCAGGCTGGCAGCTGAGTGTGAGAGTGAGGGGCCATTTGTTGGCCCCCAGGGACCCATTTTCTCTTAAAGTATTAAGAAAACTGACTTCTGAGCTCCTTAAAGTCCTCTAAGTCAGTCATTCTACCATAATCAGAAGCACTGAGAGTTCAGGATCTCTACGACAAATAAAAAATATATATTTTAAAGGTACTTAAATGTACTTAAATTCTTTAATTTCTAACTTATAGTTGTAATTATATGCTACTCTTATAAAAAAACACATTTGTTATTTCTCTGTATCCAAAAACCTATTTTCTGTTTTTTTTTTATTAAACATAAACAATTTATAGCAGTTCTCTTGTCGACTTCAGGATAATGTAGCAAAATCCCAGATAAATAGGTAAACAATGAGAGTTCAGACTTAATAAAAGCTTTGCTTGTTCAGGTTTCAGTCGCTGTTATTTCTGTCTGATGATCTCCACATCTTTGAGGACAGCTCCCCCTTGTGGTGCTACAGTGTTAACAGAATTCAATGAATGAATCCCATTCCTCACATTCCAATAGATCCCATAGAAGCCTTGCAGCGGTACAACGGTTCTCATGGGCTGTGTTCGAATTCATGGGCTGTGTTCGAATTCATGGGCTGT